CCCCACTTGACGGACCACAGAGGAAGCAATCCCATCCATGCCTGGTGCACTCGTCTTAGAGCAGTTAGTCAGGGCACCATGCAGGTTGGCAGAAGTGAAGGGTTGGTGTGCCTGCCAGCTGACTGCCAAAGGCGGGCCACGCACCGCCTCATTCAGCAGCGACCAGCGCAGGAGACATTGCATTGAAGTACGGTACATTGAGGCCTTGAAAAAGCGCGGCAAACGCACCCGCGAACGCATCAGCTGATGGACAGTCAACAGGCAACCGAGATGATGTGCCGGGGGGGGAGAGCAAGCGCCAGAAGTCGCGAGGGCAGTGGCGGCGCGAAAGAGTCACCTCTCGCAACAACGCACTGGCCCGAGCGGACTTATGGCTACGACAGACACGATCACGATAGCTGCGGGCACGCAATGACTCATCTAGCGTGTGGGCAGCATCATGTGCAGACCCATATCGTAGCGCATATATATAAGCACGATATGCATGAGACGCACGCGAGATTGCACGATTGACCTCAGGGGAGCGAGGACATTTAGACACGCCAAAATGGCGGCCCTTGCCCTCTAGCTGGTTGAGAAGGGTGTGTGCAGCCCTCGCTCGACAGTCGATAAGACGACCGTGCCGATGCAAGAGACGAGTCAGTGAGTCAAGCAGTGCTCGCGCGCAGGATGCCGCTCGAACGGCATCCCCACGCCGACATGCATCAGAATGTGCTGAGCGTAGATGTATGTGAGCAGGGTCAGTCGCCAATGATGCACGAATAGCACCGACAGCCTGCGCACTCCACACGTATCTCACCCTGCCCTGCCTTGGCGCGGCTGCCTGCACCCGGCTACGAAGGCTAGTCAAAGATGGAGGCATCACAACGGGCATGATAGCCCATGACAGGCATCGGTGCGGCGTGTGAAATGCATGGTCGTCTACAGAAAAATGACTGGCGCGAAGGAAGATCTGCGGCGAGGCAGCTACGTAGTCAATAACGCTATGCTTCCTCCCTTGTGTACACGTAGGTTGAGCCGTCCTCTTAACAGGGCAGGGGCCTATCTGGCGACCATTAAAGAGCAGAAGGCAGGATGCCTTGCACAGAGCGAGCAGCCAGACGCCCATCCAGTTACGGGGGTGAGAGCAGTCACTGATACGCGTCGGTGGATTAAGCAAAAGGGGGTGCAGTGCTGTCGAGTCAATGCCAATATCTGCATAATCCGACGGCGGCAAAGTGTCAGGGTCAGTCGCCGTCTTGGCGTTAAAACCACCACACAGAAGCACATAACCATCCTCAGCCAATTGCTCACACAGCAGGGTGAAGGCACTCCACCACTGACCACCCTGGCCGTCGTCATCGGGGCGCATGAAAAGAGGCACGTAGCAGGCAAGCAGAAACACTGGGCGGTCCAGACCGAACAACTGCTGGTCCGCTCTCAGTATGACTGCATTAGCAAGTGGCGTCTCTCGACGCGTGAGCAGGTGAGTGACACGCGTACTCGTGTACCACGCGACCCCGCCCGACTTGACTTGTTTGTTCGCCGAACTACTGTACAAGGAGGCACGTGGCGAAGACCAGCAAGTATAGCCAGTGAGAGCCACAGGCGGGTCATCCTCGTCCTGTTTCGTCTCAATAAAGGCGAGAAAGTCATAACGAACGCGTTTGCAACCATCCCACATACACAAATCATCCAGCAAATCACCATATGCACGGAACTTCGCCGCTAAGTCCTGGATATTCAAACACAGAAACGTGAAGGCCGGCAGCGAAGAGCTGGCCGGCGTCATGGCGATCGACGCAATGCATCCATGCATGGATGGGCGGGGCCGACGGCTGGGGCAGCCGCGTCCCACGCCAGAGGAGCGCCGTGCGCCTGCTGGGCCGCTCCTGGTGGGCACTGCCTGTCTATGAATGGGTCTGCCTCTCGCCCGCCCCCTGCCCCTGGCTCTTCCTTTCCCCCCGCGTGCTGCTAGCCAGTCAGCCATATGCAAAAATACACGGGCACACCACTTGCCCATCCCCCGCCCACCACACAACACCGCACGCAGCAGGAATGGATCAGACGCCCCGCCCACAT